CCTAGTCAAACCAGGCCACATAAACTTTACTTCACTCCGAGTGTATCAATTCCTGTGGAAGTTTTTCATTCAGTGGTCGTGAGTTTTAATAGAGTCTTTCCGAGTGCTCAAAAAGCTTTTAAATAAAAACTATTCCATAATTTTGATTAGAGTTTTACAAGTGCCATCAAACCAGAAAATTATTGGCGATTTTTATATCGGTTTAATTTGGCCTTTGTTCAGGTCTGATTTTTTCTAACTTTTTAATGAAAGTCCATGATCTGCTGCCTCCACGCGACGAGTCCACATATTGCACCCGCAGCCAGAGATACTTCAAGCTACCGATTTGTAAGACAAATAGGTTCAAAAACACATTTATCATGGCGAACAGTTTTAATCATTAGTAGCTTTCTTAATTATTTGTATTGTGGCTTTTGACACCTCTCTTATTGTATTTTATTGTAGATTACATTTTGCGGCTTTTATTGTAGTTATCTTAGAGTAAGAGATAATTTCTTCCCATTGTAAAGTAAGTCGTATTTAAGCCGGCCCGGGGGCTGCAATGATTTTACTTCCTAATAAAGCTATCTATCTATCTATCTATCTATCTATCTATCTATCTATCTATCTAAATGCAAGGTATTATATGGCTCAGTTAACTGAGCACCATAATAGCTTTTGTTCAATCTAAGCTCAGGAAATAAACTAAATTTTTCTCCTTTCAACGTTCAACAATGTTATGGACGAAAAGGAAGCGATCAGTGATGAAAAAGGTATGTTGTAAATACTGATTCTTAGACTATCAGAGTCGTGTATAATGTTACCAAAAGGACGTAAAGACAGCAGAGTGACAATAACTCTCAAAAAAGAAACAACAACTTTGAGTTTAAATTTACAAGACATGTTTCGACATTCTCATGTCATCTTCAGTTGCAAATGAGGATTTAACTGTTGTACATTTGAATTTAAATTAAGGTACGTTACAAACTACGTGTCAGGGCTTACGTTACATTTGAATGTTAAAAACGCGAAAAATGTAAATAGCGCGCGCTTGACTAGATCAAAAAATAAATAAATAAAATAATAATAAAAATAAATTAAAAGACCAAGGAACAACATAATTAAAAAGAAGGAGACAATTCTAAATGTTTCAATTGCTGATTAAGCCAGGTTTTTCCCACTTTATATGCAATGCCTCTTAAATTTAAATTCAAATGTACAACAGTTAAATACTCATTTGCAACTGAAGATGACATGAGAATGTCGAAACATGTCTTGTAAATTTAAACTCTACGTTGTTGTTTCTTTTTTCAGAGTTACTATCAGAGTCGTGTTAAGATTTAGTACGAGTTTCTATGTATGTGCAATCGGTTCCAACATCACATTATTAATTAATAGAAAAAATGCACTTATGCACTTTTACCAAAGCTAAGATATACTTCTGATATGCATACGTAAACGTTCCTTGTTAGAAAATGCCACGCGTGTCCCACTAGGTCGTAGAGGGGTTGGACTTGCCCACCTGCACACTCCATGTAGATTTAGATTTATCTGATGAGTTCTTTTCAATCAGATGGTAAGGGTAAATGAGGTCGTTCTGTCATTTGACTGGCTAACATTTTGTTGTTTTTGTTGCTGTTGTTGAAGGATAATTCATTATTTCGCTTCACACCTACTTTTTCGGTCTTTATTGACACTTACACCAGTTTCCTAAACCTTTTAAGGTTTTAAAGACCCATTTTCCCAGTCAGGATTCACCTCTAATGTCAAGAACACTTTTTCCAAATCTTGATAAATAAACGCTGTCTTGACTTAATTTGATTCTCACTACATTGATAACTTTAAAAATCAACAGGCGTCTCTTGGGCGCGGAGTAAGAGAAATTTTCTCCAGTTTGGCCTTATGATCCTTTGCGAGGTTGGAAGAAACCCGTTGGACTATAATGGCTATGGATGTTATTGTGGCCTTGGAGGGAGAGGAACGCCGGTGGATGAGATCGACGAGTAAATATCTTGTAGCCTCTAAGGCCAATCATGGGTACCGTACTAAATAAAACATGCTGAAACTTAAAAAAATTAGAATTTCTTGTAAAATTATATTCTTGAATTGATGTCGTAAAAGTATCGCTACTCTACGTACATACTAAAGTTCTCTTCGTAAATGCCAAAAAAATCTTTTGATATATTTTAAATGCCTTTTGTTTCGGAGGTGTTGCTACATCCATGATCAGTGTTATATCGCCATAGAGAAGAGTAATATTTGCAGTCCATTCCCAGTATTGTCCATTACATACAAGAGAGATGGCTGTAGTAAATGTCGTAAGTATACTACTACTAAATAATTTGAACGATTATTCTACATTAGCTTATTTGGTTTATTGGTATAACCAGTAATGCGTGATTGTATTTAACTTTTGATTCTTATTTTGCTCAGTGAAGAGTATTGTTAATTTTCCTGTTGCTACTTTTGTTATCGTCTATCATGGAAAACTAATTTTTGCCGTTTTTTTACTTTCTTTTTAATTGATATGAGATAACGTCTTCAATATGAACTTGGTGCTATATTTTGAACGACAAAATAGGCTACCGTCTCAGGATAACTGCGACTTTAAGAAATGTGTTGAAACTCAAGGTCTCAGAGCTTATCTAGTTAGGGTCCATCTAAAAGCAGACTGAACTAGTTAAAGTGGATCGAAATCATTCGGTGATATCTCGGGAACATCACCTTGTTGAAGCCTCAAAAAACGGCACATGCATTTCCAGAGCTAGTAGTATTCATTATTAACAGTAGTCTTCAAAGAATTTTCAATGAGGTTCAAAAATTCAATGTTTCACATATTCTTCAAGAACTAAGTAACATATCACATGGAGGTAAATGCTTTAAGTCTGGATCTATTGCGTCCTTCTATATATATCGTCTAGAATTGGTTTTGATGACTCAGAAATACATTTCAATTCAATGGTCACTTTACAATTTTTTTCCAGGAGGGTACTCGAAATGGTATCTGTTCAATGGGAAGAACTCTCGCTGCATGAAGGAGGTCTGTGAATGCGACAGGGAAGTGGTACAATGCTATAAAAAGTACAACTCCAAGTTCCGAAATCAGTACAAAGGCCACGATCAATCCAAATGCTAGAAATCTGTTCCAGCAATGTTAATGATGATTATTGCCTTATTGTTGGGTTACTGCCATGGAGATTACTGTTATTATGAGCTTTAACGAAATATAATTATACGGGAATCAGTATGTGAAGGATTGTTTTTCTCTGATGTATGGGAATATGAAACTGAGTGGTATGACACTTAAAAGTATAGCATCGAGAAAATTATTCCTCGATATCGTTTGTGTTTGAGGAAATTGAGATCGAGCGGATCGAACCTCAGGTTGAAATATGATGTTTGCGAACCTTCGAAAACTCACGATAGAGTTTCTAAAAGCTTTTTTCCCAAAACCCACCTCCAAAATACGCGCGATTTAAGTCTATAATTTACCAGATATTTTCTAAATGTGCTTCACTCTTCTACACCACTATAGTTGAAAAACATCTGAACTCAATCAACCCTCCAATTCTTATGCAATATTTCTGACTCGAGTTTAAATCATACAGAGCGTCTTATTTTAGCAGATGTATAAAGAAATTAGGTTATTCAATATCACAAGGCACACATAGTTGTGCAGCACTTTTCTTCCCTTTTATTGGATATGAGTTTTGGTGAAAAGTAAGGATCTTTAACAGTCTGAAAGCGCCTGGATCACTAGAAAATTTCCTTCTATAGACTGAGCGAGACCAAAGCTGCTTTAAACTCAAAGAAAAGTCTCTTAAAAAAATTAGTCAACTGTTGAAAAGGGTAAAGCGAACAGAAAACCGCCATTATCGTCGAGGTCAGTATCAATAATTGTTTGCAGTAACATGGCACTTTTATTTGAAACATATTGTTATACTGACATGACTGAGAAATGTCATATATTGAGTTTCGAAGGGACAATGGTCAATATTTTCTTTTGGGAACAAGAAAAACATTATTCGTAAATACAGGGGTCTACTGAATGTTTCATCACCTTGCGTTTCATTAGAGCGACGGTCAACTTTTAGTCGGCGGTTATAAAAAAAATCTAGTTTTTCCTAGTCGTGAACGTCAAAGCCGTATTTGACTCCGCCAGGTTGTTTATCAACAGCTGGAATTTGTACACAAACTTGTTTATTCTTGGTCGCAATCTGCACAGGTGTCTGAGACAAGCTTCGTTTAAGTATTTACGATTCGTGTAGAGCTTCTCCATTTTTGCCAAGCTTCCGAAGCCCATGCAGAATGATTTTCGCTGCGTTTATTCTCCTAATTGGAATCTTTTCTTCAGTGGGTAGGGTTCTTTTTTTTGGTTCTTTTTTTTTTTTTACAAAAAAAACTGCTAGCCTGTTATTAGCTGTAGCAAGTAACAATTACAACTTTTAGGACCAAGAGAATATTCATCTTCTCTTGTTAGGACCCATCCGAGATAGGTTAACTTGATCTCATACGACATCCAAAACTTATAAATGTGGCGTAAAATTCCGACAACAGGGAGCCACAGTGATTTCACATCGTCTGCAACTTATGACACCCGTGAGAGGTAAAAATAGCCTCTAGCAGTGCGATCATACCTCGCTGTAAAAGTAAGAGAGGAATCCAGAAATAGCAATCTTTATTCCACATGGAGTGTCACTTTTTTCGTTCTTTTCGTTTTCTGTCTATGAGATACCTCCTGAAGTATTGGCCATAGCGATAGCTTTTCAGCTGTCTGGAAATTACGTCCTCACTGAAGTTTTTGTCGCCATCATATCTAAATTGATATTATTTTTAAGACGGGTGTGGCGTTCGACCACGTTCTCGAATTGTTGGCGGATACCAAGCAGCACCTAATTCGTGGCCATGGCAGGCTATGCTAATGACTAGAGGTCCTTTCTGTGGGGGCTCATTGTTGAGTCCTAACTGGGTTGTGACAGCGGCACACTGCGTTGAGAATATCAATGAGGGAGACTTTAAGGTCAGGTAAGAACATTTCTACTCAAATTCATGGCAACTAATAAGAGGCAAAATAATCCTGTTCAGTTCCTTTCGTTCTGAGTCCGACATTTGGAAAAGAAAAGGTTTGCTTAAGTCAAGAAATTTAATTTCTTGATTGTGCATTCTGCGCAATTCGTTCAATGCCCTCAGTGCCACAGAGACGTAAATGGATGATACTGAAAAAAAGCACTATTCTATTTGAAATATCATCGCTGCACCCGAGTTGATTATAAAATCGTAAATTTAATACGTTCCTTTTCGGTGATTTTTGTAACCGGCTGCGAAGGTTGAGACTTTGGACAGTTACGCTCCTATAGCTCCTATCGTTGATTTAATTAGACATTAAAATCCAATCAGTTGCTCGTGTTTTGAGGAAGATAGGTTTCAATATGTTTCAGATGAAGAGGAAACCGTTGCTTTAACCAGAGCAACCTTGGCAGATTAATTTTAGAGGACTTTGAAAGACCTCAATATAACTTTGTCGTCCTTTTCACCTTAAATGGCATTGTCATATTCTCGTAAGGGGTTATTCCTCATCTCTTTCATGATTAAAATATACTTTCCCATTCTGGTCAGGATCCCAGTTTTGAAGGCACTTCACTTTGTACCTAATCATTTCCATTAGGCTGGATTTTATGTTCGAGGTATTTTATGATCGAGGTACCTAACCCCGATCGATCACTTTTAACCGCAGGATCTGTTTGTTTCAGTAACAACAACAACAACAAAAATTGGCCTAAAAACGTTTCAATAATTGTCACCTTCTAGAAGAAAATTGTCTAATAGAGTCATATCAAGTCATTTTCAGTAAACCTTGGAACATGCGCGAACATTGGTGTTCTCGCTTTTAATCTCTGAAAGTTACAAAAAATATGTCGTTTAGGCTTGGAGCGCACCACAGGACCCGTGTGACTAACAGGGTACAAGACTTCAATGTACGACGCATCTATCGCCATCCATCTTACCACCATCCCATTTCCTATGCACATGATATCGCCTTGCTACAGCTGGATCGCCCAGCCCGATTAAACGGCGCGGTACAACCAGTGTGCTTACCAAGTAATAGAGATCAACAAGGAAGGGAATGCACCGTGACAGGCTGGGGTCACCTTAAACATGGTGGTGGTTCACCCGAGTACCTTAATCAGGTAAATTCAAAGGGCAAGATTAAACAGGAAACTCGGCCTTTGTTACACATTCACGCTGCGTTTGTCCAATTTGTGGTAAAAACAGAGGAAATGTTCGGATGAATCTTGGCTGTAGCTACTTATGCTTATAAGGATGCACCAATAAAACTGTAAGCTACGCTTGCTAAAAAGCATTGCAAAGAAGGGAGATTCAGTCTGAGAAAAGACACGTACCGAACTCCGTGATTCCTTACGCCAAAGGCATTTATGGTATTTCTTCTTTCTCACTTTTTATGTTCTTGCTTAGGTGAGCGTTCCCATCGTATCCTACAGTTCGTGCAAAAGAGTTTATCCAGGAAGGACACACAAGAGTATGTTGTGTGCAGGTCTAATCTCTGGTGGGAAAGATGCTTGCCAGGGTGACAGCGGAGGACCATACGTGTGTAAAAACTGGAATGGCAGATGGTATCTGGAAGGGGTCGTCAGCTGGGGTGACGGGTGTGCCTGGGCGAATAAGTTGGGAGTCTATGCCAATGTTCGTTATCTGAGGGACTGGATCCAAAGAGTGACAAGGTTATAAAGCACTCTCCCCGCTGTACACTTTGCATTGAGCAATGCTAACATACATTCAATTAAATAACTGAATGCCATATGTCGTGTGTACTGTCATATATGTAATTTAAGGTTCATTGGGTATCATTTTGTCTAATAACCCCTCTTTGGGTTATAATAATATCTCTCCACTAATGATTTTATTTAGATTGCCTCTGTTTCGATTTACTTGAACTCATCCTGTTTCTGTGTATGGATTTGCAAGTAAGGTCGAAACACGCTTAGACGTTATTCACATACAACAATTCAAAGCCATGGATAGATAGATGCATTAGGGGAGCCTGCGCGAACTCAACAATGAAGAAATATACAAGCTTTTGTCGACAAGTGCGAACAAATGAAGTAATGGATGATGTTGAAGACATTGATCGATACCAAGGAAACTCTCCCTTTCAAAATATATCATGAAACATCGTGTAACATGTTGGCCAATCGAGTCGGACATGTTATACATCCATTTGACTGAGCGTTCCCGTAATACATGTTGCTTTCTTTTCTCATCTTTAACAAGAGAGTTTCCGCAACTCTAGTGTCAGGGTCTCAAAGGGGTGATGGCTTTTACGGTCAACAATTAAAATTCTGGCCATTTTACGGCTAACGGTTAACATCATTCCATTGTTATCACCATACGTGTTCCTACGGCTTACCCTTTTTAAATTAAGATGAATGGTTAAATTTGTCAATTTTTAGGTCTATAGGCTACATGTTTTGGCCGTTTTACGGCTAACGGTTAACCCATAGAGACCATGGAGATCCATAGTATGATAACTACTACACTGCAATTAATGAACAGGCTGCGCGATTTTGGAGCTTTTGAAGCTTTTTACAGGTTCTTTTCCTAAGGAGCAGAACAACATTCATTCGGAAGCCGGTTACGAACATAACCTATCGGCTTTTTTTTTTTAACGCGCTAACCTTTCAGCAGCGACGTCATTCGCATTTGTTGAAATTAAAATTAGCAACCCATTACACTTATATGTACACGTGTCACCTTTTTCATTTCCCATTTGTGGGTGGGCGGGATATTCGTGGGTCTTCTCTGTCGTCTTGAAATGTCCTTTGACTTCATTTTACAAACGTTTCTGACAGTGTTGAAATATACGCGTCACGTAGCTCTCAATTTGCCATTAGGTGATAGCTCAGGTGAACTAACATCGCAGACTGACAAGTTGTCCCCTAACCTTAAAGTTAACAAGTTGAGAGAAGTATTTTACGTTCGTATTGTTGGCATTGGGCCATCTGGAATTGCGATGAAATGACACCGACTTTTATCAAAAACTCAGTGGACATGATTTACTCAATTTTCCTTTAGAGTATGGCGTTGAAATGTGTTTATCGACGATATGAGAGGCATCATGATGAACAAATATGTTATTTAACAAGTGTTTCAGGTCATTCTGTAAACAGTTATTGAGAAAATAAATGAAACTTTCTTATGCATAAGAAAATACGTATTTCTAGCTGAGATGATATAGCGAAGAAACTATTCCAGGCTCTTCTAGGTCAAGTTAACTATTTTTCGTTACTTTGAAACTGAGCAACTCTAACCTTCCTCAGTTGGATAGGCTGGTAAAATAATTCGAAAAGGAGTAAAAGTTTAGACAATCATCCAATTTGTAACATGTTCATGTGTTTATAATTGCCTTTGAGAACCAAATACAGCTGTTGAAACAAAGTGAAACCTTTTTTCCAAGTGAAACACATTCGTGCAATTAAGATGAGACAAGTGTTCAATTTATTAAGAAGTGACCAATTCGCCATTTCTGACACCATAAAACATCATCTGTGGTTGACTTTTATCTCCTTGGCACTTATTAAGGGAGGAAATTCTTCTTCCATAGCAAAGGTATCATAAACACTTTATGCCATATGCCATGAAAATTCATTTTTAATTCGTGCGTACCGGAGCTATTTATTTCAAGGTAAAATTTAAACTGTATGTCTTAAAATGTCTCTTAAAGCCAATTACCGAGCTTCAAAGCGAAGTTTCCAAGTTGATGCCTCTTAGTAAGATCTTTAGACAATTATGGCGATTCCTTAGATTTTTAAGTCAACAGCTGAGAAAAAGACAAAGTGTTCGTATGAATGCATGTGTCGCAGCTGAGGAGTTAAAGAGCTTGAACCAATCTTTATTCGGAACTTAAAACATACGTTGGAGTTGTTGAGGATTTAGTTTCAAAACTGCAAAAACGTAATTCTATTCGGTGAACTTAGCTAGTCCAACCCCAAGGCTTCCTCAGTTCAGATTGTTGTTGGCTTTATTATATTATATTATTAATTGTAGTATTTATTGTGGTATTTTCTAACCATAATTATAACAAACATTCATTCTTTGTGAGTCATGAAAGGTGTTGCCTGATGATAATATCTTAAAGGCCGACATTCTTTTCAAATTATCTCGCAATTTTCAAAAAATTCCAACAATGTTACGAACGGAAAGGATGCCATCAGCGAAAACCAAGGTGCTTTACGTATGTCTCTGTTTGAGCCACCAAACCCATATGACCAATAATATTCCTCAGTTCACCTCAAACTTTCGTTACTTCGAATATCGAGCTAATTCTAATTAATTGGGTTTAATTTGGTTCCCCCGACTTTGTTCCGCAAACCTCCAGAGACTTCCAACAGCCCGGACCATCGGGCTAAACCATGCTAATACGGAATGAATTCTTACTTTCAAATAATTTTCTTTCAACGTTACCTCAAAAAACGAAGAGCTTCTTTAGTTTCAAGAAAATACAATTTTTTTCAGATCCTTGCAGTCAGATCGCTCAGTAGCTCAGTTGGTGGTAGCGCCAACAAGTATCTGGGAGGTACAGATTTCAATCCCGTCGAAAGCTGAAGTTTGTCTCTCTTATTCTTTTTTCTTTCTTTTTCAGGCTTCTTTTGAGAAATCGTTAAAAATGGCAGCTCCTTAGCGAGTACGATGGCTGTATTTGAGAAATGGTTGAGTCGAAACTTTTCAATATTAAAATGTTTTGGGTGAGATGTAAATATAAACTCATCACTTCAAATATGTATACTTGGAATTATTTAACACGAAGCTATATATATATATATATATATATTAAACGAGTGTTAGCTGCCTGGTTTGAGTTTTATTACGGTATTTAATTTAATTTAATTTAATAACTTCTAGAGCGCTATTTTCATTCAATGATCAACAGCGCTTAACAACTTAGAATACTACAGTAAATTCAAATTTATAAAACTAATTACATGTACATTAATATTAACAATGTATGTTAAAAATAAGAATAATATGGAAAATCCGTAATAAGGATCTTAATTAGGAATAAGGATCTTAATAAGGAACTTAATTAGTAATACTAATAAAAGTAATTGTCAGACAGGGTACTTTGAGAAAGCTGCACAAAATAAATAAGTTTTCAGCTTACATTTAAAAATGGAAAATGATTGAATATCACGTAATTCAGCTGGTAGAGCATTCTATTAGTACGGGGCAGCAGCAGAGAATGATCTGTCCCCAAACGTGGCAAACATTTTCCCCTTAGGAGGGTCAAGTAATAAACTTTGATTTGATCTAAGATTATATACAGACCTAGGCTTGACGTTAATTAGTTCAATGATATACCTAGGCGCCCATCCATGAATAGCTTTAAATGTTAAAATTATGATCTTAAAATGAACACGATGTTGTACTGGTAACCAGTGAAGTTGACAAAGCGCAGGAGAAATACGCGAATACTTACTTAAACTCAGTACAAGTCTAGCCGCAGAATTCTGCACACGTTGCAATTTGGCTATTTGCGACTTAGGAAGGCCATACAAAAGTCCATCACAATAGTCTAAACGACTAGTGATAAAAGCATGAATAAGCGTTAATAACGAATCGCGAGATAAATAATTCTTAATCCCCTTTGTAATGTAAGTATGTAAGCTTACAATCTAAGTGAGCATGGAAACTTTCAAAATGCAGAAATTCGGACAGTCCATTTCGTTTTTTGCCTCTGCTCATGTTATGATAAAGTCAGCTACGGCGGTTTGTTTACAAACCTTTGTTTAGTTCTTCTGTTGCTACTGGCCGGCTTGCTTGCTCCGAAATTTCACTTTTAATCGGCGAAAAAAAACTAGTAAAAAGTCCGGGAAATGTTCGGACATTTTTTAAACTGCCATATGACGGGACAACTTTAGCTCAGCTTCGTGTTTTGTACTCTGATAACACGCTCTTTCAACCAATGACAGTGCGCATTGCATCCCAACTTATTTTAACTTTCTAGAGAAGTACGCTGGTGATTGGATTTGAACGATAATGATCAGATTATATTATACCCTTTGTTATAATGTGATTTGCACTGTCTCTTTGGATACGGAGTATGTTTTTACTTCAGATATCTCTAATACTTCGCTATAGACAAAATCTTCCAAAGAAGGTTCACAAGTATTGTCTTCCTCAGAGTTTCAGAGTTTTCCTTCCGTAACCTATTTCACCCAAAACGTACTTGGTGGTCACAACTGAAGATTAACTGGTATTCACTGAAAGTGGGCACTTCTAACTACCTACACTAAACATTAGTCTCCTTTAAGTGGTTCCAAAATCTTTGTATCTCAGCCCCTACACTCGATGATGACTCTTTCCTTCCTTTACGGTGTTTTTCATTACCTGAGGCACGACATCTGCAGCTGTGTTTTTCCGAGCGCTGAATGCCAAACAACGATCTTACTTTCTTTCGTAGAAACTGTGCATCAAGGCTTCCAAAGATGAATGGATCAATGGCACTATTTAAATAAGTTAGAATGTGAGCAAATGGTATTATAACATCCATGCGTTCCCATTTGCTTTCAGTGCCGAAATCATGCAAAAGCCAAAAGACGTGGGTGGGTAGCTGACATACTGCGAATACCATAACCGCAGCTACGAAAGCTTTTATAAGTTTAGTATTCTGCATGTGCCGTAATTGTGCAATGTCCTGCACCTGACGTATTGAAGTACCATGATAATATCTTACCAATGATTTCCACCTTCGGGCCTCCATTCGCACATAAAGACCAATTTTTGTGTAGAAGATGGTGATGAGGGTTAGCGGTAAAAGATACAGCACTGAGAAAACGCTAACGGTGTAGGTCTTGACGTGATCTCGACTTGGCCAATCTTCCACACACTCGTCATTCTTCATTCTTAAAACTAGGGTGTATGGGGTAACCAATAGAAAACTCGTTGCCCATGCAGAGATAATGACTTTAATAATACATCTGCTTGTTGGCTTACTCTTAAAAGGTGTAACAACTGCTCTGTAACGTTCCACAGTCATACAAAGCAGAGTGATAACGGACACAGCCATAAGAACAGTTTGAAAAGGGTAGACTGTTTTACAGACGAAACCGTAGAACGGCCAGTGGTCTGCGAGAAGTTCGGTGATGTCGAGTGGAATACTCACGAGGCCCACCGCTAAGTCACTGATAGCAAGATTCAGTATAAAGTAGCTGCTGCTTCGGCGTACTTTCCTCGTTAGTTCTATCCAACAAATGAAAACATTTCCCACCACAATAAAGGGTGCTATGACTGCAAAGATGACTAACTGTGAAACGAGCAAAGGATCGACGTCTGAATTCGATCCAGTAGAGGCAGAGAAATTGGCCATATTTTTCATAGTCGTGTTTGACATTTGAAGGAACGGCGCCTCCTGTAAAAAGAACACAAGAACATAATCGGAGAAATAATCAATACTAGTGCATCTTTCCCGATTGATTCCTATATATTTAAATTTCATGAAATGAAGTTTGTAACTTACACGATATTTTCCTCTGTTTTTGCCTCTCTGGTGATTTTTCTAATTTTTACTAATTTCGTTTCAGCGACATTGAAGGATAAGAAATCAGTTCATTCCTAGCCCGTAGTATTTGCCTGCCTTACCTTTCCTCTGACGAGAACAAGAATCTACAGCGTACAGTGTACACCAAAATGTACTAAAAATTGCATAACACAAAACCTAAAACTGAAGGAGTTTATTCTTCTGGGTGGACGAAGTGCCAATTTTTTTTTACTCTAGAGATGAACTGTTTTGCAATTCAAACCTCTAAAATATGCAAATTAGATACAAACAATATGATAATACTAATAACAGTAAAAAGTCAGAAAAACAATTTCATCTTCTTTAAAAGCTTTTTTTGGTCGATAATCCATGACTGAATTGTAACTTGTCAAACAATATTGAAACTATGGTTTCAAACTTAACGATCTCAGCAGTATTCGAGAAATCTGGTTAACAAAAAACGCAGGGGAGGATCTTGTGTGGTTGGTTACCGTTTACAAGAGAAAAAATGTGTGCTTTGAGCTAAGCCATAACACTAAGTCCTATTCAGAAAATATGCCTTGGGGTTTTTGAAGCATTAAAGGATAAACCCTTAAAAGATAAAAAATGAAGAAGATTCCAAAATACCTTGGGCAAACCAGTCGATCAATGGGATCCAATTCACCAGCTGCTCTGGTCTAATCGGCGTTGTGCATCATAAACACATTGCTTTCAGTAACAAAGTTTAACAATTCCATCGCCGATACCGGTTCGAAAAAAATGGTACGAAGAGGTGAGATATCCTTAAATAAACCTAAGGAAAGAGACTTACCTTATTCGTTGTCGATAGAAACAGAATTTCCTAGCTGCATCTCTCGCTAAAAATGTTCAGATATGGAAGAACGGTTTATTCAAATGAGCTTGTACCAAATGCATTTATTGTAACGACAGTTTACCTCTTAGCCAGATACGTGTACTTCTTTTAGTTCTCATTGGCCTCTTTTCTTATCCACCTGTGTTCAGATTACACAGTTAAAAAAGTGCTTTAACAGGTTCATGTACCTTGTTGAGTATTTAACCTTGTGTGTAAGAATCGGTATTTTTTTACCGAAATAGAAACTAAATACTTTCGTGGTGCAATATTAATTGACTTTTAGGAGAGCATCTTACTAATTAAATGAGTTATATGCGGTTGATAAGCTGTTGAAATTTCCGTTATTAGGTGGTCATAATATATTTTCCTAAGAGCCTTACAAGTCCGTTGTCGTGGCCTTCCGCTCCACGAGTGTCTCAGATGCCACTTGATGTGAGACGCAAAACAAAAGAAGGCAAGCATGAATAGATAATAGAGCTGTTTAGCTTATTTTACCCTCGCACGTACAAGTTGACATTCTACGTGCGCTCCTGTAAATACCCTGACGGAGCGCGTAGCGACGAAGCCGAAGACCCGCCAATGTCTCGGGAAATTCTTTGCCAAAAGTCGGATTCGAATACCATCGATACTTAATTTTTTAATTGTTTTTTTGTTTTAATTTTTTTTCAGACACCTACAAGAACCATGGCTTTTTTTCGAAAATTTTGATAGGGAAGGATGAAGGAATTGTCGAGTACAGATAGTTCCTGTTTGGGAAATGACCAATTCAGCAAAAGCACTGGCTGCCTGCGATAAAGACCAAATATGGAAACTGGTCAAGTACTGAACAACCGCAATTCATGATCACTCCATCATAAGTCTTTCAGCCTTGTGATAACATAATATTTTAGATAGTTTTAAAGTATTTGTCGCGGTATTACTGACCAATACCAAAGACCAAATATGGAAACTGGTCAAGTACTGAACAACTGCAATTCATGATCACTCCATCATAAGCCTTTCAGCCTTGTGATAACATAATATTTTAGATAGTTTTAAAGTATCTGTCGCGGTATTACTGACCAATACCACCACAGTTCATGCCGCTACATAAAATAGTTCAATGAATGATTGAAAAATTATAAAAAAAGTAAACAATTAAGGCTCTCATAAAAGGCCCATTGTCCTGCAGAAAAACTTGAAAAATTGAATTTCATTACATCATTGCAGGGCAGGTGATGGATGGAAATACATTTCAGACGTTTTTTTTACAAACTGGATAATAATGATAGTTTATTCAAAACTTTTAAACCTAAATACTAGTTTTTTAAATTTAAATGGTTGTAAAATTAATTTCACCTAATTATTGACTGGTACCGGTCACGGTACAAATGGTGATAAAAGTTATTTCATGCAAAATTGTTGTTCTCTGTTTCGGAGGCGATGGAAAAACTTTAGTGGAAGTGATCCCATCATCCATTACAACCAGTAAGTCACCGAAGATATTCTAGAGTTCACAATGCAGGTGCATGTACGCCCTATTTTGAAATTACTTTAGTTTGGGAAGCATTTCCAGTGGAATCATTATAGATCGACCCAACGCCCTTCCTCTGACCGCCATCTTGAAAGCTGGGAACGAGGTTGCTCGTCCCATTGACCGAGAGAGACTGAGGGAAAAATGTAGAAATCTAACATGGCGTACAAAACGGCTGAAAATGGAAATAGTTTGTTGGAAATAAAACCGTCCGCTTTTTTAACTGAATTTTAAAGGAAAAACAACCCTTCAACATTACTCGGATTACAGAATTAAGATGTTCGGTTTTACGGGAATGTGAAAAAAATGGCAGTAGTGGATGCAAAACCAGTAATGGCCGCAATGTCAACAGAAACAACATACCGCTGGACATGAAACCCTGTGATTGGCGTGTTAGAGGTAGGTTTTTGTCAACGCTGTTTTGTTTTGGGGAATTTTTTCTTAATTTGAATTCTTTATACTGACTACTGTTCAGTTTTCTGTTTAACTTGGTTAGGACCAAAAGTTCTAAAAGAAAAAGAAAAATGTGAAATTGATTTGACTTGCAAAATGTTGATGCATGTATACTAAAGCGTGAAGATCTATTAAATCATTTTGCCTTTCCAAAAGCTTTCAAATTCTTCTTTGTATCTCCTGATGAACAGCTCTTGTCAATAAAGGCTGATAGTCTCGAAAGAAACTGTTTGGGGCTGCGTCGGTGGGAGTAACGAAATAATTTCGATACATCAACAAAGTTGAAGTGGTAAATTAGCCACCGTAACGATTCGAAAAGCTGACGTTTCGAGCGTTAGCCCTTCGTCGGAGCGGCCATGTTCCCACCAATAACGTAGCTCCATTCTCTGCCTTTGAAAGCACACACAACCCACAATTCCTCTATTCGCTCCGACGAAGGGCTAACGCTCGAAACGTCAGCTTTTCGAATCGTTACGGTGGCCAATTTACCACTTCAACTTTTTTGATATATCCAAATTAGCTCTTGTCAATGCCGAATTGTGTCAAAATAAGGGCTTGGCTAGAAAAGAGTTCGGTCCATCAACAGGGCCGAGAACAGGGTATAAATTTAACGCAAATATAACAGGCATTATTTTATATTGAACGAATCTAGTAGGTTACATTATGTACACTTGGCGCTTTGGATACGTCTTCTCTTCTTTAGAGGTCTAGAGTTCGAGCTATAGCCGAATTTTCTTATACTTTTCCCTTTTTTTTATTTACATTCTTCTTTAAAAGCATATATTTTTCCTTTCGCCCGGAATGTCACCATTTATTGTGCTGTAATTGGTCTTTAAGAAGCTATTTCCGAAGCGCAGTGTTTGAAGAAATGGACTGGTTTTAATCCTTCCAGCGGCGCAGATCATCGATATTGTGTTTTTCGGCGGTCGAATATTCAAATTCGAGATCTACAAGGTTAGTATAGAAGGTCCATAAATACTGAAATGGTAAACGGCATATCGGCATAGAACGGTATAATTAATATCAATAAATACGCAAGCTTTTTGTACGCCATCTTAATTTCAGCCACTTTTTCATCCATCAGTAAAATTTTATGATCTTAGATCACATTTGTCATTAGGCATTCGTTATTTCGGCGGCACACTGTCAAATATGTTTCGCTAGTTCTTATTTATCGCCAGTTCCCTGTTATCACCAGCTATAACTCTAAAAATATAACTATGTATGCAGTTGTCTTCAAGCGTCCCTCTACAGATGAGCTAACCGCAGAACTTTAGTTGGCCATAGGTGGCGGAGCAGGAGGGACAGGGGGGCTGGAAACCTCCCAAGAAAATTTTTTTGGGGCACGCTCCCCCCCGCCCCGCCACGTAATCGCAAATCGATTAGGGAAAAACTAGAAACTGTTAAGATTGCAAAGAGGTTTACTTGTGCCAACGTACAACGCAAAGGGCATTTTGGAAAATTTGAGTATGGGTATGCACATAGGTGGGTGAGAGATAACCCCCTCACCCCTCCCCACTTCGTAAAACGCTTCATCGCCTCTGAGTCTCCACTGCAGCAACTGTTCAGTCTTGATAAAAAAAACCATATTTGTTGCATCTAGCCCCTGATTTCCAGTAATAGTTTGGTTCACTTTCTAGTAATGAAAAGACAGGGATGAACAAGGCTTAATGAAAATGATCTCATTTCGTAAGATTGATTGAAAATTTAAGAAAAAGAAAAAAAAAACCAGGTGGGTGAAAACTCTGTCCTACATGAAAAGCACTAATAACAAGGCCTGATTTCATAGTAAAAAATTCCAAGTGGCTTTTAGGATTATACATTTGCTATTTTTCTATCTTGCTTGTTTGTTTTTGGTTTTGCTTTTTTTTTTGGTTGATGGTACTGCTATAACAGGTACAGGTTGATGGTACTGCGATAACTTACGCATTGTTACAAACACAGGACGAAATCCCACGTTTCCGCATTAAATGTGACGGAAACATAGAGCTTCAAGTTTCCGCTACATTTACTTTTTGCGGAAACGCGTTATACCAAGTCTTGGCGATTCTATCAAGTTTCCCTCATGTTTAAGTCGGGACGTTTCCGCTGTTGTTCGTCTCCGTTTTATTTCTGCAAACGGATTTTTAATATCCTTGTTGAATCTTTGCAATGAAAAAAAACCAATCATGGTTTTGTGCATGGTTTTTACTATTTTGACAAAATTGAAACGTTAGGAAACTGCACTTATATATCAATGAAATTATAAATATGGATTTTCAGAACAACTATCGTGAGCAAGTTTGTATATGAATTAGTAACTTCGGCTGCTGATACGACTTGCAAAGTAACAAGATTAATAATATAACGGAGTATAAAATTGCCACTTTACTCTTCTTCATTTCTTGCGTAAAAAGCAAATTCCGTGTTCGGTAGGCATGCGTTAACGCAGAGACTGCGCAGACTCTGTAATGGATAATAAAGGCGCGTAAAGAGCGTAGATTGGGATGGTTATAGTTCAGGGATCAATATTGAGGGAAATTGCAAGCAATAATGATAACTTAAGCTTGCGAAGGAAAAATTATTTTAAAATTTGCAGGTAACTAATGACTTTACTTTGGGACCTATATGAATAATTTTTTTTATCGTCTGAAAATCTAAGGTTCTGCATTTCATGTTCTCGTTATGCAAATATTTATAACTGTTATCTCGATAGCTATAATTTCTGCTTAGTCCCTCGTATGTGTTTTGAATAAGGCTCTAAAGATTATTGGTGTGAGGTAAAGAGAAAAATAAATTAAAAATGCAAAAGATCTTCTCATGTTTGTCATTTATGATGTTGATGAGAAAGTGCATTAGCTAGATTTACTATTTAATTTCTCGGACTATAAAGGAGTGAATGATCACCTTGGAGCATATGCCTGAGTGTTGAAATGATGAATGGTTAAATATTGGTGCAACTCCTCTTGACAAGAACAGATGGCAAATTGAAAATCAATTTTACGAGCCGACGTTTAAAACGATTGGTGTTCTCTTCGGTCATAAGCCCCGAATTTAACTGGGAATTAAAGGATGAAGTATTTGGCATAGACGAAGTAGATGTGTAAAAAACAGTAACCTTAATCTGGTGCGAAATTATTCTAGCATAGTTTTTGGCGGACATATTTTTCTGCGAGAAGCCAACAATATTCCTCTAGCTTCGCTCTTGGAATAGTGCGAGCTTCTTGATGCAGGCAATATCCAAGAAAACATATAGGGCACGCTTTCATGATTCTTGATCCAAACAAATGTTGACTCTCCAGATCAACTTTCAAAATGGGAAAATGTCTTCTTTAATTAATATTAAAAAGATTTTCTATCCCTCTTCTTGCCCCAGCTTTTAGGCGAAATTTCATTTTATTATCCGTAAGATTTAACAATTGCGGGTAATGTCATTTGTTATCCTCCCCGGGGGTGGAGGGTCGGAGGATTTTGATTCTGTCGATAAAATCTACGTGACCCTCCCCGAGGCTCTCTGGTGTTTAAATATTCCCCCTGTCTTTTTTTTTCTTTTAGTGCAATCACTTTGGTGGCTATCAAAGAAATATAAAACATCGAACATCATTTTGAATATGAGTGCCTCCGTATTATCATCACTTCGCCCAGAGATGAATGGTCGATGTAAATCTTCACCAATGAGAGTACGTTTAACTTTATTATCACCTTTTTAATTTGTCTTATTGAACACTTACGTCGTTATCACGCTAGAACAATATGAGGACACGAAAGAAAGAGCCCTGAGGGTGGAAGTGTCGGACGATAAGACTCCGCAAATCCCCCTCCTCCCCCCCCTTTCTTCCCTCTCTCAGATTCTCTCTAGCATGACATCATACATCAAAGCAATGCAATTAAAGGCTTTATTTCCTATTCTCTTTTCTGGAATCTACGACATTTATTCAACGTCCTTCCGTAAAACCTCATACTGCTAAAAAATAAAACATTAGTGCCATTATGATAGTTAAACTATAATTTTCGCCATTTTTTCCCGCTCTAGAATATATTATACAGTGCAATTAATGATTTTTTCTCTCTTCTCACATGTAAATTAATCTCACACAATGCCCCTTATTCCTCCGCACCAGACCAGTGACGTATCACTCAATAATTGGTTGCAGTTGCTAATCCATATTCATCAGGAATTGTAGATTTTCAGCAAACCACGCTGTCTGTTCGAGAGCAAAGATATTCCTTCGGAGGTGCTGAAAGTAAAGTTGTACTCTGTAAAGAAGACGTGGGAGCATCACAGAAGGGCAACTTAGGCACTCTGGAGTTACTAACAACACAAAGTGAGTATTTCTTTAGGAAAATATTGTGCTAAATTCCTTCAGAGAACTAAACTTGTATCTCATTAAAACGACTGAGTGCGAGTCGAACGCTTTATTCGAGTTGTTTTCAACTCGAAGTTTGACTGAATTAGGGTGTTGATTTCGAGAAAAGTAGGACCTGTTATTCTAAAATATTTCAAGAAAAATTCCTGGTTATCTTTCGGTGAATCAATGAATTAAAGATTTCAAGGAGGACAATTTGAAGTTGAATATGGCCACGTGGATATGTGACGACTCTTCTACAAATAACTCCGTGGCCTTCGCTTCATTCAACATAATATTTCGAAACGTTTTGGTGTTTTTCCGTTCCTCTATAATTGTGTTTTAGTGCGAAGAAATTACATGGAATTTAAATTTTAAGGTCACAAGATTGTGTATCTTCGTTCTGAGACAGTGAGTATTCCCTAATCACATTCATTATTACATTTTTTAGGAGAAGCAAAGTTGCAAGAAGGATGGAAGGGAAAGATTCTGGTCAAGAGGATACAATGGAATGACTGAATTGTTATTGGATACTGTAAAGATAAGAACTTTGAAATTATTCAGTAACATTAGCAAAAATGGTGGCTCTTTATAGGTCTTGTTATTGTACGAAGTCTTTAGTCTTTCATGAAGAGTCATGGAATGGATAAATCTGGTTACCCGGTGAGTGAATAGTTTTCAATTAGCCGCCATTTTTGGATAGGGATTGTTTTGCAGACCTTGAGCGATAGTATGATTTACTTGAACTGCTGGCAATAATTCGATGCAATTTTTCTCTGACGATCTCATTTCATCAAAATAACCAAAAGTACATGTAACATCTGGAAATTTATTTAGACCTGGCTACAGAAAGTTGAAACTGAAATCGCAGAATTTTTATGTAGGTACCCATCGCTCAATGTTTTTGTCTGCTTAACAGTTTGTACCACAGTTAAACCCCAGTTGATGTTGCACAAAGGTGATATTTGTTAAGGTGGCACTCTAAGAACAGACCTGAAGAAATTCAAACTAAATATTTTTGAAGAGTCAAATTCGTCTTAATAGTTACATTTTTTATAAAAATAGAACTGATGAACAAACTATACTATACTACTGACTGGTACGTTGCTCAATGTTAAACCTTCATTCCCCTCTTTTCAACGACTGACTGTGAGAAGTAACCTTGTTCACTAACCGTTAAAAAAAGACTCTGCAACAGATGACAACAACTACCCGCACCTTACAAACGACTTCAAATCCCTCCGGTAACCAACAGAACAAACCAACTTTATCAACTGATCAACTGCAAATTTAGTTTGACAGTCACTTTTTACCTTACTGCAAAACTGAGTAATCACTTTTACGAACCAAAGTTGTAATATTAAACTTACAAAGACACTACAATTAACTCGAACGACGACTTTCGCTCAGGCCAGTCAACAGTTTCGACAGATGTCGGCCAAAAACATGATAATTTCTAACTGGACATTTATTCTTGAAATGAACCGAATCGGTGAGAACTTTTAATTTGCTCTAAAAAGAAGCAGTTGATAACATTTAAGAAGGAAACAGTGCCATGTTATAACTCGTATCTACTTCTTTGTGCAATCAGCTGAGGTCGGTTTAGTGTAGAAGTTATGTTTAAAACTGGAATGCCAGGTCAAGAGCTTTTCTAAAAACTGATTAAATTGATACTTACTGTTATATAAACCAGTTGAAATTTATGGGGAAATATAGTTTCATATTTCGAGTAGATTTTATTCGATGGAAACGGACGAAGGAAATTTAATTCGCAAATCGTTGAAAGCAGTTCACACTAAAATGGACGCAAATATAGGAACCAAATTTTTGACTAATACACAAGAATTGAACTAATGGTGAGCGGTAATTGTTATTAAGGAGCATGAGGGCCGGGTCGCATTAAAATTAATAAAATAGTTCCATTTTTTCTAAAGTCAATAATTGGCAAAAATTTCGCATTTTCGAAATTTTGGCGGCGGTCGCATTAAACTAATATTTTTTGAGCAAAATTTCACGTTAATTGCAAACCCATCTCGCTCTAAAAAGTGTTAATAAAAAATATCTTGAGCAAATCAGTACTACGCAGGAACGGATTTCTTTTTTGGTGCTGATCCTTTGAGCTCTTTTGCGTTTTCATTTCACGCTTGCGCTATTTTCGCTGGAAGGAGAAGTTCACGTTGAAGCCGTCTGTTTTTTTAAATCGTTGCCATCAAATGGACCAAGGGTACAAGTAAGACATTCGAATAAAAACGGTGCTCAAACTCCTCTTTCCTTCGAAAGAAAAAGGGTCAGATGGAAGAGGAAAATCATGCCATCGAAGTAGATTAGCCAGGAGTACTTTTCCTTACTGAAATTTTATCCAAACACGTCTTGTACAGCATGACAGCTAAATAGCTAAAAGAAAAATAAGACAGGATTTTTTGCTTTGCCAAAATTGGAGGCCTCCGAGCCAGGATCAGGTCCTTTGAAGATTGACGGTCGCACTTAAGCCACTTGACGACAAATTTTTTTCACTTAACCAAACACAAATAGGCCCTTGTGCGACTCCGCCTTGTTTCCTAGTATTCTCAGAAGAACAAGAAATCCAGTTATTTGCGCAGAAAGATTTGAAATTTTGGTAAGGTACGTTTATTTTTCCGGACAAAGGTGCGAATCAAATGCAAATAAAAGAAAATCAGTGAATAATTCATTAGTTTGCAAACCAACTGAGTCATGTTCTGTTTTCTTGTTGAATACTTTCTCACAGTTGAACACGAAAAACATGGAAATTTAAGAAATTAGGAACATATGAACTTGTACATCCTTATAATAATACTGAATTTTGTGCAGAAAACACGTTGGTTCTAACAAACCGAAGTGCGAACCAAAATCGCCCAGTTATTTAACAATTATTCGCCAAAGGCGAGGTGAATATCGTCGAATAATCCCCGAAACGAAGTCTAGGGGATTATTCGACAATATGCACCGAATAAATAAACAACAGAGAAATTTCTAAAATCATAACATTTTATTTTAACATTTTATATAAACCGCGAGGAGCGGTTTACATAGCGTCATATGTAAGGAACCGCTCGACCAACCAGATTGCTGGAAACTCTTTGCTCAGCTCTGAAATTATACTAAATTAAAATAGAAGGTTGAATTTTATCGTGTCCTCGCGTTGAAAAGCAAGTACTCTTATATTTGTATCGAATTTTTGCTGGTTTATATAAAGGGGGTTCTTTAAGACGCGCTATGGTATCACGTTACGGCTTAAAAATTAAGATGCACTCGAAGAACTCTTAAGACCAGGCATTCGGTTTTAAAATAGTTGAGTAGTTAATTCATTTACACCTTATTTTACAAAGGGAAGGAAGATCTTGTGAGCTCTCACTCGATGTAACACAGGACTGCAGAAAAAGATTTTTTTCAGTTTCATCTTTAAATTCAGTTTTTAATCACGATAAAACGAGAAAAGTAGTAAGAAAAATTTCTCTTATCATATTTGTCTTGGCTCTTGTGGCTAAATTCAATTGTTGCAAATTAAACTTAAAACGATTTAATTTCTCAAATTCCTTTGGGAATAGGGTCTGAGAAACTTGGAGCCTAATTGTAAGATATCTTAGCATTGACGGCCAAATCAAATTCAGAGACTTTGCTCCAACTTGAAACCGACCTATCTCTCAAAGTTCTTCGGGAATTTTATTTAAAGTTTGAGTCAACTAAATTGTGGAATGTGTGAGCCACTATGGCTAAATTCAAATTTGAAGATTGTGCTCCAACTGTTATACAAGTTCATTTTTTAAATTACTTCGGCAATCTAGTTCAACATCTAGGATAAATCTTTTTGGTGCTTTTACAATCTGTGTTACATTCGAAACCTGATGGCTTTAAAGATCACTTTCTCCGAGAAAACATCGTGGCAAGCTATAGTCTTGAAAAAATCTTTGACGACATTTCTAATTATCCTAATTGGGCTCTAACGCTCTCTATGGCTTGTCATGATGCTTTTTCGTTTTTAACAATCACACATCTCGTGCAAAAAAAAAGAAACCTAAGCGAGTCAAAATTTCTTTGAAAAGAAACGAAATTTTCCAGGTTAATTTGTTTTATAAGAGAGGCTGAATTTTTTATGCACGAGACGCTGTCTTAAAATTTTTTTGGCGGGAAATTTTAAAGGAATCCTTGTTAAAATTTTTGCCGAAAATGTTGCTAGGACAAACTCTGTGCAAATGTGCCCAAATTTTCCCGCCAAAAGTCTTAGTATATGTACGAAAAAATTTGTTGGACACCTTTTTATTGACTTAATCGAAAATTACTTAATTACTTTGTAATTAGAAAGAAATAAAAAGCTTTGTTGAATTTAAATCTTTGTGGTTTATTGAGTAAGTGATAATAAAACAAGTAGACAATATGGAAATAAAGATAAAGTTTATTGCCTTGAAAAATACAACTTCGATGTAAAAAAAAAAAAAAATGGCGCATGCATATTTTGGGCGCCGTATTTGCCACATTTCAACAAAGGTTACTTAAAGATTAAATAAAAGTTTGCGCATGCGCAGTATAAGCGCCTGTATTTTTCTAAGTTTTTTGGCGGGAAAAATTGAAAATTTTGAACAGCCCATGTCAGTAATATTAGGCCAACCAACAGTTTTAAGTCGTCGATTTTTTTTTGGAATGTCATTTGGCTCTGATTTGCCGTGTCGTGGTTTTGAGTGAAATGCGCTAAATCTGATTTATACCTCCGGATAAATCTCATCTTTCACTTTGATCACAGCTTTTCTTGTTTGATTCGTGCATCAGTCAACCTGCGTGAAAATAAAAACAGACAATAAATTAACAAATGCAACAGATCTTAAACCTTTTTCTAAGCCACGATTGAGTGTGAATCGCTAATGATGAACCAACGTTAACTATTTCGCGATGTAAAATAAGAATAAATCAGTACTCAACTCGATCTATAAAGGAACGTAAATGCAACCTGGATTGACCGATTAATTCAATGTGGCAGCAGAAAAATGTTCTCAAAATTATAACATTTAATTTACATCTTCGCCTTTTTCCTAATTTCTTTCAGGCATTGAAGACTAAGTTTTTTTTTTATGCTGGAGTGAACATGTAATAATTTTGTATTCTAGCAACATTCAAATGTTCGCTAGCAACTCCTCTGAGATCACTGTGCCGGAATGTAAATAATGATGGTAAGAAATGAGTTTAAACTATATTTTATCTTATCCTATTTCTGATCGGTCACTTCTTCTGTCTAAATCAATCAAGCGACAAACAACTGTGCTCTTCCTCATTCAATGGAAATACATGTAATAATAAAAATAAAACACCCTCTTATGTTAATTCTTCGCGCCAAAAACGCTTTATATGTTGCAATTTGCATGATCTTTTATATTTTCCTTGATAATGGAGTCATGACTACTCCGAAACATCGGATTTTATCGTTCGTTTTAACATTTTTATGTCCTAGGAAATCTCTTTTGATAAAGTCAAAGAAACCAATAATTTCGCAAGCTTCTGGTAACGCCTTATAAATGTAATTATATTCTTATTCGTTACCCCGCTCAAACGAAATAAAAGATCATTCGTTGAGCAACCACAATTGGGGTGTGTCAACACGAGACGTATGCTGCCCTCTTAATTATTATGTCTACATCAACAGAATGAAAACTCGGAAATGTAACCCTACAAAACAATCTAAATTATGTTCGTGTATGCAAAATCTGCTTCTGAGAGAAACCTATAATCCCTTGTCACTGGGTATTTAATTTAGAGGACGTAGGGACGGTCGTAAGACGCGTGAGACGAGAAAGAATTAAATGACGACAACTCTAATATATAGCCTACCACTAATGAAGCAATTGTAACAACATACCATGCAACACCCCCCAAAAAGGGTTACGTAACCCATGATAAATATATATCTTTGTACAGGACGTGAAAATTGTAAAGCTAAATGCTGTATTTCAATAGAAAGAAAAATGACACTTAGTTTTTGTGAAACCGTTGCTTGGCAATGCGATGTTATATCTGCTTAAGGAGACTAGATACAGTCCACGGTTTTAACTCACGGTGAATTGGCATTACCACCAAAACCAATCGTACAAAAACAATTTTGCCCTCGAACAGGAAGATGCAGCCTTCATTCGACGATTAAAGAAAATAGAATAAAATATAATGTGAAGCACTTCTCGGTTGACTTCAATTTCTTTGGAAAATTCTACTAAAAAAGCTAGACGGTGGAATTCTTAACAAGTATCTGTGTCGAATAATATTTTAAAAAAAAAATGATTTGCCGTAACTGAAGTCGTCTATCTCTCCATTCAATAACTCACTGTAGACTTCGACACGGAATAAGTTCGTTCAAGATTGGAGGTGAATTTCTAAACCCGCCAAATCATGCACTGAAATAGAATCTTCGTTAAGACGCACGTTTTTTAACTTTAGTTTTAGCCGCAAGAACTAAGTTAAACTAGGCTGGATTATATTCCTTATTGAGTACAAAGTCGTTTCTGAGATTGAAAAAAAAATTCCTTGAATAATTTAAAGATTTTCATTTTTTGGTGCACACTCTTTCAATTTGGTGTTTGCTTTATGAACTAGGAGATTTAACAATTACGCTCCAAGATTTTCAATTGAATTACACAGAAAAAGTTTACATCGCTTGATGATAAACTCAAGAATTAACTGAAGAAAGTAATATCTACTTTTAGAGCCTATTCTTTGAAAAAGTCCTTTTGACAGTTGTGGGCTCGGTAGCCAAGCCTTTGAACAGGAGTGAGGCTAAAGGTGACCTTGTTATGATAGAGATGTTGCTACTTTTCAAATGCAAATTTCTTTGTTATCATGCTAACTAGATACAGGTCTCTGTCACAACATGGTCACCCTTAGCCTCACTCCTGTTCAAAGGCTTGGCCACCAAGTCCACTACTGTAAAAAGGACTATTGGTTTAGTCTCAATAGCTGAGACATTAAAAGTTAGCCTTTGTGATATTTTTGGCTTTTGATGTAGCGATGACATTTAAAGACTAGTTGCGAAAAAGTCGCCTCCTTTGGAGCATGCTATCTACATTTAGTTTGAGCGACAAGGACTGAAGAGTTGACAATTGAACATTAAAGGTTTTATCGTACGGAGTGAAAAAAATCCTATTTTTTTCAAAAAAAAAAAAGAAAAAAAAAAGAAAAAAGGGAAAAAATATCAGACTATCCACCTTATCAGAGGTTCAATATAGATTTTGGGAACAAAATACTGAGAAACAACAATTCTTAAAGCATTAGACAATTATACTTAAAGGTTTTTTTGAAGGAAGTACAAAGAATCAAATTTTGAAAAGATATCAAGCGAACATCAAACTTTTCAGCAATCTTGGACAAATGTTTAACGATTTTGAAACATACTGAATTGGTCGGTTCCAACTTTATGGGCTATACAATGATTTTTGTTTTGATTTCAGTATTATACCAACAACAGAAACAACGTGGTAATTGATTAACCCAAAAGTGCTGTAAGCGACTGAAAATCACCTTGATCAAAGAGGAATTCACCAAAAACAAAACATTTAAGAAAACAGTCTCAATCATATCTCAGTTTACTTTTATTCTATTTTTTGGAAAGATTTCCATAAAACCCCATACATTAATTTGCATTACATTTCATCAAGACTAAATATAAAGGTTTCTTTGCAACACTCTAATGCACAATTGATGTATGGAATTGTATGAAATTATATGGAATCTTGCCTAATTTTTTTTTTCTCTAGGTACTTTTGAATCGCAGACATTTGATAAATCCAGGTTGAACTGTGAATTACATACCAGCAGATCAGACTTAAGAGTAAGAGCGCAGATAACTAATTCCTCGCGGTTCCATAGGAACAGCGAGGTTAGGTTTCCCCATCGTTATTATTATTATTTTTTCCTTTTTCTTCGTCAACCAGAAAACGCAGTCACGTGATCAACAGCTGTCAAGTGAGATCGAAATCGTGCTTTAGTCGTAGTCGCTTCACTTCGCTTTGCTGTTCACTGTTTTAAGATATGGATTCAGTGTCTTTAAATACGCTCAAATCGCTCACAAATCCACACACCGTTCGCGGTATAGCCATACTAGAAGATGTCGAGCGTTTTCGGAAAGGGCATTTTGAGGGATACCGCGAACATATTGTGAAACTTATCGAGAACTATACTCCAAACAAGCTATTTATCTATTCAAAAGCAAATTCTATTCTATCTCATGCCAACTCTAACAGCACAAGGGACTTCAATGCTAAATGTGCACAAGGCTTTCATAATGAACGCAAGACGATTGGATGCATTTCAAGCGAAGATATAACATTGAGCAAACCATGACTCTCAACGTAAAGCCTTCATCAAAATGACAGTTGTGCCACTTAAATTTATTTTCTATGAAGATCTGCACACTTCAAACCAAAGAAATGACGACATGACCATACAAATTTGATTGATATAAAAATTAAAGATTTTATAAAAGAGAACCGCGAGGTCACGCAAGTACGCGTCTAGTTAATCCGTAAAAAATTGCGAACAAGCAAGTAACTCACGTTTCTGGAAGTTGTCTTGTTTTCCTTTCCTTGCTTGAATTCCTTGATTTAGTGATAACCTTGTCCTATGCCTGACGCTGTACCGATGAGAAAATAAAAATATATTCATTTTGTGAAAAGGAAACCTAGGTAGGTATATATGTGAAGGTGTAATCCATTTACTGCAGTAAGTATATATGTGGAAGGTGTAAGCCATTTACTGCAGTATGTATATATGTGAAGGTGTAAGCCATTTACTGCAGTATGTATATATCTTAAGTACTTTGTTATTGTAATTGATGAGGATCAATGTCGGGCCCTGAAGACTCGATCAGAGCCATCACGTTTTGAACAAAGGCAACAGGAAATTTCATGTCCATCGATTGGTAAGTGCTTCCAGGCACTCAACCTTAAAAACACAAAGGTACCTCAGCCAAGATCACAAGACCTACTATCCAGGAAACGGACTCTATGTCAAACATTTTAGGCAACTTGGCTTTCTTTTTTTCTGGTTGAGACTGGAACTACGAGACTTATCAGACGCGTAAAAACAAATTTGACTTTAAAATACCAGTAATCCTGTTTTCAGAATAATTAAAAGTAAGGAATTAAAGATGATGAATGAGTCATTTAGCGATAAGTACATTATCAATAAAGTACGCATTTTTCGCTGCCCTAAAAGTCATGTGGTTCATCAAGAACTGTCATGGCGGCGACTTCTGACGATTAGTCTTTCACCGAACTTTGGGTAACAAGCCTATGGCGTCAGATAGGGAGCAAAATCGATCATCACATTTCGTGTCGTCGGAACTTCTTGATTACGTGAAAAGTTGCTCTTCGCGTCGTCGAGTTCCACTCTTCGTGTCGTCGTGTTTTCGTTTCGTCGTAATTTAGTATAGTCGTAAGACTTAAAGCTCTTGTGTCGTCGTCCAGTCTTCGTTTCGTCGTAAGTTGGCTTTGTCGTCGTGTTTT